TAGATCACTGACATTCATTGACATTCGTATGTTTTGCTCACTGCTATAACTGTACCATCTTAAACAGGTGCTTAGAATACTAGAAGCTTAGGAAATAATTATGAAATGACCACTGGGGGTGGAGAGACGGCTCAGCAGTTTTACTGTTCCTGCCAAGCGCCTGGGTTCAGATCCTAGCACCCACATGGTGGTTCACAAACACCCGTGACTCCAGTTCCAGGGGATCCAATACCCTTTTCTTGCCTTTGTTGGCTCCTGCATGCATGTGGTACACATAAATTCACACAGCCATAGGTGTGCGTGCATGCGTGTGCACACACCTTCCCCCTACACATATACAAAGAAAAAAAAATCTCTTGAAGAAATGACCATTGGACATCCATACTGGATTTCCCACCTGTGTCTAAATCCTATCATCCAATGCTAAAACACTTCTCCCAAAGTCTTGGGGGTTTTTTATTGTTCTTTGTTTTGTTTTTGAGAGAGTCTCATGTAGTCTGGGCTAGCTTCCCAAGTGCTGGAATTACAGGTATACCCACTATGCTTGGCTCAATTCTTAAAGATTTGGATTTTCCAGTCACACAGACAGTAAGACTTTGGGAGTCTTTTACTCCTCTCATGTAAACTCATGTTATTAAATCATCAAGCTTTTATCTCATTTTTTTTTTCTCATATTCTTTTCCTTCAATTACCTGTGTCTACTTCTTGGCTGAATAATCATAAGTCTCCTAACTGATCCTCTGTCAAAAATGTACCCCAAAACATCAACTGTTCTAAACTGCAACTAGAAAAACAAAACACAACTTTTTTTTCTAATGGAAAGCACCTGATTTAAAGCCTCACTCTCATATGAAACAAAAGACTAGTGACCAGTGAAATGGCTCAGGGGTGGAGGCACTTGCTGCCAAGCCTTATAACCTGGGTTTGATCCCTGGAACCCACATGAAAGAAGGCGAGAACCAAGTCTTGCAGGCTGTTCTCTGACCTCCACATGTGTACTGTGGCACATGCACATTCACATACATACAAAATAAATGTTGACTAAAAGCCCTCCTTCTACATCATCCTTCTTTATGTCATGGACCAGGCTGGTCTTTTTCACCCTAGGTTTCTTTTTACTCCATCACTGGTGTCCGGTACATAATGGCTCAATATTATGTGTTCTGACCTCTGCTCATATTAAAGAACTCACCCTAAATATCTTTCTAAGATTTTATGCCCTTATTTATAGGTCTTTCTAAATTTTTTTATTAAATATATTGTGGTATGCATGCACGACAGTACACATGTGGTCAGAGGATCACTGTGGGAGTCTCCCAAGGATTGAACTCAGGTTGTCGGGATTGGTGGCAAGCACCTTTACCTGCTGAGTCATCCCTATAGTTGGTTGGTTGGTTGCGGTTTGTTTTTTTTGAGACAGGGTCTCATGTGGCCCTGAACCTGCTATGTAGCTGAGGCTGGTCTTGAACTCCTGACCCTCCTGCCTCTGCCTCCCCAGTCTTGGGATCACAGGCATGTACCACCATACCTGGGCCTTTTATTCTCGTCCTATAGTCCTGAAACCTCCCACTGCTGTCTTGATCGTTTATGTATCTCACTCCCCTGTGAGGTTGTACACATGTATCTGTTGCAGTTTCTGACACAATGCCCCATACATATGCTATTTTATGTGTATTAATTCTGACACCTGTAATTCTAATTCTATAATTCTACTTTCCACTTTTCTATGGATCCTTTCCTTATTAAAGAGAAAAAAACATTGTAAATGTCTAGTGGTCACTGACAGAATTTTATCTGATTCCAAATACTCAGTGCTGATGGCTAGTGGGACTATGAATGATGTCTCTCCCAAAATGCCAAACGAAATGTCAAGGTAGGTGGTCCTTGCTATTACAATCAACTGGGAACAGAAGCATGTGGTCAGTGTTATAAAAACACTAAGAAATGAAGATTTATAAAACAACAACGTCTGACCCTCTACAAATACTGAGCTTTTCAGAGCAAATTCTGCCCAGAGACTCAAAGACAGAGGGCAGGTTCTTGTGAGCAGGGCAGGTCTGGCAGCCAAGCTTCCTGAGTAAGAGCAAGGCCAGCACAATCACCCTTACTCTCAGGCAGATGGTCAGAGGAGGGAACAAAGCCACCCACAGTCCCTGGTCTGTCTGGGCACTCACTTGGTGGGGGGGGGGGCGGTGATATAAAAAGTTTCTTACTTAAATGAAGAGGTGTACACATGCTGGGGATCAGGTCGGGGATAATGTCCCAAAGACACTGCCAGGTTTTATCTGTGCTTGGCTGGTAAAGGAGTCCTATAAACAGTCACAAGATTTTGTGTAGGAGGGCTCGATAAACTCTCAAGAGATGAAGAGAAGATGGAATTTTCAAGGGAGTTACTGGGAAAAGAACTCCTTATACCCGCTCCTTCATCTCCTGCCCCCCTAGTTACTTGGGAAGATTGGTTAGATGTTTCTTCTTTTCAGACTGGTCATTCTAACTGAAATCTCAAAGGTCCCTTTTTAATTCCTCCCACACAACCCAAAGGATTTGCAGTCTAGGAAACCAAAGAATTGTTTCATCAATAAATCAATTTATTTAAAAGAATATGTTACAATTAATTACACTAAGTGACATTACCAAACAATTTTAGAGTGGTTAGCTCTAGAACAAGGAATGAAAGAAACACTGTTAGCCATTATATGTCTGTATTTTCTCTTCACATTTCTTAAATCACAAATAAAAAATACAAGATACTGCAGTGAAAATACAATTAAGAGTTTTGCTCAAATAAATTAAAAGTATGCATGACCTGGGAAAAAACTGAAGCCCAGCTCACTGACTTAAAAGGGGGCATGATGTCAAACTGGTGTCCACATTTAGCAGTTGGCCAAGTACTCACACCTCATTACCCCCTCTTCAGTGTGGTTCCTCCTCAGATTCCTAAATTCACCATATACCCTCAGTTACTGCTGAGGGACTACTGTTGTCCCGGTACGAAAGAAGTCTGGCATGGTACTCAGGATTCAGATTAAGAGGAAGACAGTGGGTGGAACTGGAAGATGGAGGGCTACGGAAGCACCCCTATGTTCTCCCTCCCTCCACCTCTGAGTGTTCTGCCACATTGTCCCTCCTCCAAAAGGAGCTAAAGTGACCCAAGAAGCTGGTGAAGGAGCATCAGTGTACTGAGACCACTGCCGAGTTCATCCCAGCACACAGCACGATGGAGAGGGCAGAGACATGTACTCTAGCCCTGGAGACTTCAGGTCGATTCACATGCAGGTTCCTTTAGAAAACTGCCTTCTAGGAGCTTGGTCCTTAAGCTGACAAAGTCTGAGATGAGAGAGATGTCACCTCTTATCAGTGCCCTATTTTGCTGCTCCAAGCATTAGGTTCGGAGCTATAAAAGAGGATAACCCAAAACTACTGGCCCAGGTACCTACAGGATGAAACTAAATGGGCCAGGCAGAAGGATGCCGAAATAGTGATCCGATTCTTTCCTGAGAGCGCTGTCCAGGCTTCGGAGCTGCCCTGAGCAGCCACACATCTGTAGCTGTGCTGAGCTTAGGCCTAGGGCAATGGAAGGGCAGAACAAAGGAGACTAGGATAAAAATACAAAAAGCAGCACGCTCAAAGCACAGCCAAGGGAAACTTCCTACGGGGGCAGGTTTCTCAGGGCCTAAATATTTTCCCATTCCATAAAAAGTTCTGAGTTTTTACCTCAAAGAATACAAACTCCACATGGAGGAAACAACAATGGAGACCAAAGATCCTGCTGGGGTGAAGCTGGAGAGGGGGAACCCCTTTCCTAGAGACAAACTACAAAAGAAGACTGGGTAGATGCCTCCCTGGGCAGAAGTCAGGACTAAGAAACGTAGTAGGGAGTAGAGAAAAGGAAGTGCTGGGGGCGGGGAGGGTGATGAGAGATACATCTAACACTGCTTCATGCAAAGAAGGCCCTGAGCCTGGGTGCCTCTGGGCCCCAGTGACTTCTGCCTCCATGTCTAGAGGCCTGCGCTGAGCCTTGGGGGGGGGGGGGTCTCCCTCTTCCCAGCCCCTTGCCACAACTGGGTGCTCTAATGAAGCACCCTCAAGTAGAGGCTGTTCCTACACAGATGCTGGGAACTGACCAACCACCTATGGGGCTCGTTCTTTAGGGCCTCCAAACCCGTGTCTCTTCTCTGGAGGTCACATTTGGGCTGTGACAGGCTCTAATTTGTTCGTGCCTCTCCCACTAGGAAGGAATGGGCACTCTGCTGCTATTTTTACAGTTTGAACGAGCTGGCACCGAAAGCATCTTGTAGCGAGAAATGAACATATCTCCTTTTAGAGTCCTTTGATTCACTATTAAATTCATTTAAGCCAAAAGGAGATGATCCTGGATTTAAAGCCTTGATTCAAATCAGAGATTACTTTCTGCAACTCAGTATTCTTATGTTTTGGACCTTGTGATTCCGTGGGTTTGAAGGGGGGAAGGAAAAGACTGTCCAATAAGGCGCATACCTCCCTGGGACAAGTGGCTACCGGAATAACAGAGGCAAAAAAGTGGTCTCACAATGATCTGAAAAACCAAGGTACAAAAGAGAAACTTTAAACCAGCCCCAGCATTGCTCAGGGTAGCTGACTACATCCAATTCTGACTGCCTGCCGGCGACACAAAGCCAAGGGTGCCAGCCTACAGAGCTTTCTATTTGGAAGGTAAAGTGCAGAGGGAGTTTCAAAGATGTTTTAATTCCATCTAAATCTTAGTGTTCCTTCCATATGCAAGAGTTCTAGAACTCAAGGTCTGAGAATGTTACCCTAGTGCCAGCCCTGGCCTGGCCCTGGGATGTGGCTCTTGGGTCTTAGAACAGATGAGAAAGTCTTAATTTTTTTTTTTTTTTTTTTTTTTCCTTTTTGAGACGGTCTCCCTGTAGCTAGTTGGCCTGGATTCACTATGCCTGGCCTTGAATTCAGAGATCTGCCTGCCTATCTCCAAAGTACTGGGACTAACCACGCCCTTTGAGTTTTTTTTGCAACAGGGTTTCACATCTTGGCTGGCCTGGAGCTCAATATGTAGACCTGGGTGGCCCATAATTCACAGAGATCCACCTGCCTCTACCTCCCAAGTTCTGGGGTTAAGGTGTGCACCATGACACTTGGCTCCTTTTTTGAGACAGGGTTTCATGGAGCCCAGGCTGGCCTTGAACTTGCTATGCAGTCAAGAATGGACTTGAACTTCTGGTCCTCTGCCTTCACTTCCCAAGTGCTAGGATTATAGGTGTGCTCTACTGTATCCACTTTTATGTGGTAAAGGCATGGAACACAGGGCTTTATGCATGTTAGGTAAGCACTCTCCCAACTGAGCCACATTCCCACCCTACCCCACATTCCCTTCAGTCTCCTTTGAAGTAAGGGTGAAGATCTGACCAAAATTAACCATATCCCCACTCTTTCCTGGGCCCTCAGCTGGCATGAATGGGGCTATGGTTTGGTTGACACTGACCAAGACCCATTCTAAGTGTTCTTTAGGCCCTTCCCAACACAGCTGTTTAAGGAAGTCACAGAGAATGTAAATTGCAGGTGGTTACTGGTCAGGAATGGAGGCAGTAAAACCTTTATAGATACGTCATTGCTGCCTTTCTTTTTCCTGCATATGCCCAAGCTTTGTGCCTGAGATAACAAGCTTTAGTCCTAGTCCCTAATACTGTCCCTGCCACGGAAGAGCAAGGAAATGGAGTTACCATCACAAGGTGTTAAGTTCCTATGCTATCAGCCTCCCAAGCCCACCCTCAACTGTTTCGGGCTAGTTGAAAGGAAGCATACAAAGGACCGTAAGGAAAAGGAGAGGAGAGGCAGAATGGATGAGAAGTCTTGAGTAGGAGATATGGACCAGGAAGATGTTTTGGAATCAGGAGACTATGGTGAGTCTCTAGACTCCTTGTAGACCTGCAGTTTCACTGCTCTGGAGAAACAGCCTCTTTCTCCTCAAAATACTCTTGGACAATAAAGACACCACACGCCTTGCTCCTCAGACTCTGGCAAACCATGAGCCAGAAACTGCACTCAATGCAAAAAAGGGGGGAAAAACCCAAGCAGGTTGTAAACTTTTAGAGTCCTTTATGAGGAGAGGTATTTTCCCTGTAATTTTTTTTTTTTCCTTTTTAAAGTTTGTTTCAAAATAAAGAGAGGAAGAGAGAGATCATGAATTCTAGTGAAAGGTGTGTAAAAACACAAGCTAAAAAAGGTACTGCCATCAATATGAAATTTAAAAAGAAATATATATGTATATACGTGCAGCTAATTTGTGTATATATAATTTTTTACATACATACATATATGTTTGAACAGTGCAAATGGATGGAGTTCATAGTTCCAGTTTTAAAAATAAGTACAAGGAGAGTCTGTTGATATGAGGCCCAGTCAAAAGGACAAAGCTACCTTTGACAAGTTGGCTGGGCTTATTTCTGTCTTATCTTAGTGGACTTCCAGTACTAACCAACTTACTGCTCTCTACCAGCTCAGTTCCAGAGATGAAATTCAGAGGGAGTTATCAATAATATTTAGCTTAGGGATTTTGAACATACTTTTTTTCCTTTTTCTTTTCTTTTCTTTTCTGTTAATGGTTACTCTGTCTGACATGAGAGATGAAAGGATAAGAGGATAAGGGCAAGGAGAAGGGAAAGGGATGAGGAAAGGCTAGGTGGCCACATCCCTCTGCTGTGACCTCGCCATCTGGAAAATGTTCTGAAAGGAAAAAAAGGAGAGGAGTTACTGAGGAGCTGCGTCCTCTCCCACCTGGAGACAACCCTCAGACAGAGCTGGAGCAGCATGCTTGGCTGACCAGTCTGACACAACTTCCCATCTAGAACCTCCTCGAACTTGGAGGACCTTGAATATTTATCCCCTGGCTCAGTCTTCCTATTTTTACCAAAGATCTAAGGAGGCTGATTCACCTAAAAGTACAGATAAAAGAAAGCTAGGAGAAATCCTACATGATTCCCAGAGCCCAGTGTTCTTCCTACTATAATAAGATATAAATTTTCATGTTACTAACTTTACCTCTTGAGTCTCTGATTTTCTTTGAGAATAAATAGCTAAGTTTTAGATAGAGTCTTCTAAATTCTGCTCCAGCACTGACACCTACAACAGCAATAGCAAAAAATTTCCCCCATATATGCATTCTTGGTTCTCAAAGAAAGACTCTATTGTGACTTATCCAGTCAGATGGCTAAAACTCAGGACAGATGCCATCCTGGTTCAGAAACAACACGGAGGGTTATCTGATCAAAAAAAGAAACACAGGCAGAAGAGGGTCCATGAAGTCATGAGAGATGGGAGAGCCTGTAGCCAATGTCCACCCTCTAGACAAGGGGAGAAGCAGGGCTTTTGTGCACAGCTCATTCACCATCCAGAGGCCAGCCTCGCTGGGACAATGTCCTGGCTCACATGGATAATCAGTCTCTAACTAATATTCCTAGAAAGACAGAAATGGAGGTGAGGGTCCCAGGTATTTGGCCATGGACCTATAAATTCTAAACAAACAAACAAGAAGTTAATTCAAGAATTCTTTAGAATTACCTCTTTTCTCCACTTGAGCTCGCAGAACACCCTCTCAAAGCATTCGTGCATGTAATTGAACTGCAAAGAAAAGTAGCAACACTCACTGACTTCCCAAGACCACAAAGTCATGCCTTTGAACCTCTGCTCTATCATCCCATCTTTCAAACCCACCCAGCCTAGAGCAAACCCTGACAAGTACCACAGACCTGGCAATCCATTGTTCTCTAGCTCCTTCTAGTGGTAGCTGTGACTCATACAGGATATGAATTTGCCAGTCCCTAGTGGGACAACATGTCCAACTAGTCCTTGTTTTTATGGTCATTAGCTAAGGAACAAAAGCATGTGGCCAGGGGCTATAAAGACACTATGGAGAAATAATGGAGAGAAAGAGCTCTCTTGAGATGAGAACCTGTTTGAATCCTATAAGCCCAGGTTGGTGCTATTTTTTTCTTAAGTTCCCACTAGAATTTATTTCAAACGTTTCAAAGCCCAGTCTCCTTTCCTCATGCTTCCCTGTCCACCACTCACGTATGGTGTGAAGATTTTAACCCATCGAGGCTTCTTCTCTCCTCGTGCATATTCAAAACAGAAGGCCATTCCTTCTTCATCTGTGTCCCATCGCTGCATCTCATCCCATTCAAATGCTATTACCTGGTTCTAGACAATCAAGAACATCAGAGTAAGGTCTATAGTTTACGTCTGAGTACTGGAGAGCTAAGGTAAAGGGATTCTGAGCTAGGGAGCAAAATAAAAATGGAGAAATATGCAATGTTTCTGGGAAAAGACTATGACAAAAGAATGTTAGGGCCGGGGAGATGACTCAGAGGCCAAAAGCTTGCTGTACAAGCCTGATGATCTGAGTTCAATACCTGGAGGGTGGAAAGTGGGACCTCCACAAAGTTGTCCTCTGATCTTAAAACATCTTGGTGTGTGCATACCCACACACAAACACATACTCATCACACACACAAAGTAATTAAAAAAAAAATACTTTGGTGGAAGGAGCCTGTGAAGTAAGGATGAATGTGGATCTGTGGATTATTTACCCCAAATCAGAACAGTTCTGATTTCATTTGCCCCACAAAGAGGACCTAAACAGCAAGTATCAAAGTTATCCAAGTGCCCATTGACAGCTCCTGGCACAGGCCCAGGCTAAACTTTTACCTCCAGCTGTCCCTCTTCAGTGCAGGCATGAAGTTTAAAGTGCGTGATGCTGATGGCTGTGATAACGTGCCCCTTCCTCCTGGAGTCACAGGCACAGTGGGGGAAGATGATTTCATTGTAGCCCTCACAAGTCCTTAGCATGTTGAGGTACTATCAAAAACACCAAACCAAAACAGAAAAATAAAAAGGAAAACAGTGTTACAAAGAGACTGGGACACAGTGAAGGGCTGCTGGGCTGGACAGAGCACTCTCACCCAGCCAGCCGAAGACCTAAGCTAGGTCAGGCCTTGGCGGCCATCCTTGACCCCCATTCCCAGTTTCTACCTTCCAACTGCTAACACTCATTTCTCCACTTACAGATAATACAGAAATGAAACAGCAGCAGGAGTACTGTAATCAAGACAGTAGGACTAGAAAGAACTCACAATGCCATTCAGTGTCTCCTCTACTTTCACTGTACTGAAGGGATGGAAAGCTAATCTGCCCTTCTAATAGTTTCTCCCCATCTCTTTTCTAATCAAAAATTACAATGATCTCTGCTGAGTGTGAGGACACTCAGAGGCAGGGGCAGGTAGATCTCCGTGGCTGATTTACATAGCCAATTCCAGGCCAGCCAGTGCTACATAGATTCTGCCTTAAAAACAAAAAACCAAAGAACCCACAATAACAACAAAAAAACAAAACCCCAAAAGTTACAATGACCTCAATAATGAAGATTAAGCTACTTCACATCTCATACCCATAAAATGTTAAAACTGAAAGAAACTTGAAAAACTAGACATTTTATAGAACTGAGAGTGAGGAAAGACTACCTAGAGATGACAGGTCAGAAATGGCACAGCCAGAACCAGAATCTCAGGCCTTTCATCACTATCTACTACTTCCGAAGGGACCCCATTTCCCCTGGGTCTCCAGTGCATATGTGATGGTTAGTTTAATTGTCAACTTGACACAATCTAGAATCAACTGAGAAAGGAGTCTTGATAAGGAACTGTTTAGATTGGGTGGACCTGTGCACATGCCTGTGGGGGATTGTATGAATAAATTGATGCGGGAAGACCCAGCCTAAATGTAAGCAGCACCATTCCTTGGGTTTGGGTCCTGGACTACATAAAAGAAGAAGAGGTGAGTTGAGTGTGGGCATGTACGTATGAATTCATCTCTCTGCTCTTGAGCATGGATGTGACGTGACCAGATGCTTCAAGCTCCTGCCGCCTTGGCTTCCCTGTAACAATGGACATAACTGGGAACTAAACTTCTTGCTTTCTTGGGGTATTTTCTCACAGCTACAGAAAATGAAACTAAGATAACATGCCTCATTATAAAGCATCTGGACCTAAAGCAAATGACATATACGACCCTTACAAGATGGCTCTGAACAGTGAAGCTCCCTCAGCTTTGTCCCCGCTCCTCTACAGTTAAAGCTGGTCTCTTTTTAATTCAACTCACTATTCTGAGTTGAGAGGGAAAGAAAAGAGGCATGGAAGGACAGAGAGCAGAAGAGACACAGGTAAAGGAGGATAAAAAAGGAAATGAAGATTGATGATCTCTGACCTGGTATCCTTTCAGGGGTTGCCTGGGAAACAAGCATATGAGCTTGAGCCTCCACACCCCCACATGAATATCACACAAGGCCAGGCCATGTGCAGAGTGCTAGAGAGAAGAAATGACACAGGCACAAAAAGGACACAAGGCCTGCTATGGTTCTGCTATGGGTGAGTGACACTTAAACACTGTTACTACCATTAGGGGCTTAGAGGCCCAGGGGAACCACACCCTTCCTACTTTATATTTCTACTTTGGTTAAATAATAACTTTGAAGATGAAAAATTACTAAAGGGGAACAAGAACAAAGAGGTGGGGCAAATTCAGAAGTGCCATACACTCCAATAGGATCGTTTTTTCCCCTCTCATTTCCCCTTCCATCACCCTACTCCACTTCCGCCTTTTTAATTGTCCTTCCTGTACCAGTGACAGACATGGGCACAACTTAATCCTGCAATGGCACCGTGAGAGGCAGAACAAGACCTGCTACTTTGTTAAGTATGACAAGCGGCAGGTGGTATGGAATGGGCAAGAACTCCTCTGGGGCATAAGTGGTCTCCAGTACTGGATCCAAGCCATCCTTCTAATACAGTCGTCAGAAACACTGGCACCATTAGTGCATTCTGCTCAATGGAACTTAAAATCTGTGTAACGCAGGGGTGTCCTAGAACCTTAAGATTAGTTCTGCTCGTTCTTTGACAAAAAAGCCTGGCATAAAGACATTGAGAACTGGGGATCTCTTCTCTGGGACATACTTCTCCTGTCATATTCCTAACAGGGAGTTTTATTTACTATATCGATGTGTGTTGCGTGTATGTGTGCGGGGGTATCTTTGAGGTAGGGTTTTGCTATAGCCCAGAAAGCCAGGCTAGAACTGGCTACGTATACCAGACTAGCCTCAAACTTGTGAGCCTTCTGTCTCTGCCTCGGGTACTAGAATTACATAATATGACCACCACCAGAACCACCCCACTGCATAGATTTTTAAAAGCACGCAAAGTGCTGAGAAAAGATGTGGACCTCCGCACATCTAGAACTCCCTCTCTTTGTGACTTCAGGAAAGTTATTCTTCTGCAGCCCTCCCTGTGCCACCTGGAAATAGGCCACCTGGAAATAAAGGACACTGCTGCCACCCTCTCTCCCTTGATGCGAGAATAAACATGCACTGGAGCTCAAATCCCATGTCTAAACCCTAGTTCAACCCTGACTAGCCACTTGATACTGGAGGTTGTGGTTTGACTATGAAATGCCCCGGACAGGCTAGTGTTTGAACACTTGGCCTCTAGCTGATGACACTGTTTTGGAAGGTTGTGGAACCTTTAGGAAGTGGAGCAAAGAAAGTAGGTCAATAGGGAGAGGAGACATTTATGGCCTGGCCCCACTTCTTGTTCACTGTCTGTTTCTTGACTGTGAATGGACAAACTGTGACCAACTGTCTCCTGCTATCATGCCTTCCCCCACCATGGACTGTATCCCCTCAAACTATAAGCCAAAGCAAACCCTTCTTCCCTTAAACTGCTTCTTGTCAGGTATTTGGTCATGGTAACAAGAAGAATAACTAATACACTAGGTAAGGATTCCATCTAGACTTTTCTATTTTTTTTTTTTTAAATGAGGGTAACACCTATACATAATAGGCCTAGAACAGTAACAGCAGAGTACATTTTCTCTTCCTGCCCTCTTATTCAAGACGCTATCCTTAAACACAAGGCCTTCAAGAACTCTTTATTGGCCTATGTTCTAAAAATAACCTGAGTGGAAACTAAGGGTACCTATCCTTAATGAGAGACCAGAGGAGGCCTTATTGGTTGACAGGCTTTTAGAGACTCTCAGGTTGGTAATATTTGTCAGTTTTAAGTAGAACAGTCCCTACATTGCTGAGTTTGTACTAAGCCTAGAGAAAAGAAACATTTAAAATTTTACATACATAAGCTGGGTGTGGTGGCACACGCCTATAGTCCCAGAGGCAGACGCAGGCAGATGTCTGTGAGTTCAAGGCCAGCCTGGTCTATATAAGGAGTTCCAGGCCAGCCCCCACTACAGGGAGAACCTGTCACCAATACACCAAATCCATCCCCCTGCAAAAAAAAAAAACAAAAACAAACCCAAAATACATGCAAAATTTGGAAGAGGGTGAATTTTTGCTTTCAAGAATATTTGCAACATTTAAAAAACACAAGGGTGCCAAAGGGGAAGGGGATAAAGATGGTTCTCTGCATGAAATACACAAAAATTCAATAAAAATGTAAAAATAAAAAATAAAAACACAAAACTATAAAATGTGGCATGGTGGCATATGTCTGTCATACCAGCACTTGGGAGACAAAGGCAGTAAGGTCAGGAGTTCAAGACCAGTTTTGGTCAGTACGTAAGACCTTGTCTATAAAACAATCACACAAAATTACTCTGTCCATTCTCCATTTTGAGTAGCTAAATATGATCTTGAATCATTTTTCTTGAATTACATACCACTTAAATAAGTGGCCCATTTAGACAGAAGAAAAAAAAGTATAGCAAAGGACATTTTATAAATGTTCAATGTTTAGCAAGACAGACTTGGTACCTAACAGAGCAGAACACTTTAGGTGAACAGGTTAGGGGACTGTTCTGAAGACTGTGTTCTCGCAATCAATCTGCCAAGTGCTAAACCAGGACTAAAATGGAAACTAGGGCTTGAGAAAAGCCTTGGGAGTCAAGTCTCTTCAAGCCCTGGACAGTGATTCTGAGGTGCCCCAAGTTTTACAACTACCACTATGCTTTTTAAAATCACAGAAGCCCCACTGGACGTCATGGTGCACACCTTTAATTCCAGCACTTGGGAGACAGAGACAGACGGGTCTCTGTGCAATCAAGGCCAGCCTGGTCTACATGGTTGGTTCCAGGCTAGCTGGGGCTACAGGAGACCCTGTTTCCAAAAGCCAAAACAAAACAGAAATATCCAGGTCTTATCTCTAGAGACTTTGGCTTAGTAAATGTGGGATTATGTCCAGAATCTACATTTCAAGGGGTTTTCTAAGTAATTTTCATGGAAGTAGGCTGGAACACTTCAAGGAACACTGACTTTCGTATCTACTGCCTTGTGCAGGGTTGTTGAGAAACAAGGATGGGTGGCAACATAGGGAAAGCACGTATCTACTGGTTGTGTGAGAGTAAAGATAAAAGAGACAGGAGGAGGGGAAGGAAGGGGTGGGGAGGGAGACAGAGAAAGGAAACAAGACTCTCTCACGTCAAATTCTCAATCATCTACACAAGATTCAATCTAACTTTGTTAAATAATTACAAAACAGCTAGGCATGGTGGCGCATGCCCTTGGTCCCAGCACTTGGGAGGCAGAAGCAGGAGGATCTCTGTGCGTTCAAGGCCAGCCTGGTCTATACATCAAGTTCCAGGCCAGCTGGGACTACAGGGAAACCTGTCTCAAAAAAAGACGCCCCCCCCAAATAAAAATAAATAAATAAATTTTAAAAATTATAAAACATTAGCCTGCACTACTATCCTCAGGCCTCTTGGGGTAAGTCTATAGCACAGC